ATTCTATATGTAGACAAAATATGTGAATTAGATCTTGATGTGATGCGTATTAATCATGACGTTCCTGAGGGTTCTTCATCAGCACTACAAGAATATGATAATGATGATAATTTGGAATTCTTAATTGATATTCCACAAGACTCTGATTCTGATTCCGATGGTAAGAGTGGTGGTCAACAAAGAAGTAGTGGTAATGAATTTTCCGACTTCAATAGTCAGGCAAAAAACATGAAATATAGTGCTTTACCATGTCGTTTATCAAATATGAGTTTAAGCTTTGTGTTGGTTATAATATATCTTGGATGTGTTTGGTTAAGAATCCCTATAATAAAGGGTGATATTGTTCGGTAGGCTTGTAGAAAAAATTTTTACAAACCGCAATTTTCATTAGTATTCGTAATGATTATAATTATTCTTTCTTTAGTTGGGCTTCTACCGGTCGTTTATCAGATTTAGTAATTCGTCAAGAATTACCTAATGATATGAAATTACATCTGGGTCCCCATTTTGTTAAGAAGTTCTTTGAAAAAGAGGTTGTTAAAATTTTCAAAGACTTTAAAGACTTTAACAAAGGAACATCTTTAGTAAACATTGCAGCTTATATTTTCACAGCGACATCAATCATGGCATTTCTTGACTTCCTTAGAATTCGATTTTATCGCATTTTATAAAAATTTTTATGGAATAACTTTTCCTGAGATTAATGCTCCACCTATACTTTATCGATTCATCAGAGATTTTATGTTACCAGGTAAATTTATTTATATAATACTCAAAATTACTAAAAATAACATTCTGACTTTTAGTTTTATCTAGTTGAAACATATGTTATCTCCAAGGAATTAGCGCAATTGATCAATTTGAATCTAGAAATAAATCGAAATCCTTCTCTTTCATTGTTAGCCGTGATAATTGTGATAATTAAAATGATCTATGGATTGGATGGACAGAAAAGGTTTCATAATAACTGATATCACTTTTCTTGTTCATTTATTGAAATTTCAAAATTCGCCACTTAATTAATAGAAATTTTATCTATATATAGGGTGCCAAATGATAAAGATGAATTCTTTCGATACTTTCCTAAATTTGAAGATTGGATAAAAAAATTAAGTGAAAGACAAGAAAAACTTTTCTCAAAAGAAATTCCTTTGGATCTGAGGTTTGCACTATGGTTCTTTAGTAAATCATTTCATTCCTTATTATGATGCTTGTTCTAATCAAATATTTATAAAAGTGATTTGAAAGAATGGATTGATAGCAATCCGGATAAATATATAAAACATTGTTCTGATACATTGGTCG